AATCAAATGATTAAAAACTTGGTTTTGCATAATATGTCCCCTTTAAAAGAAGGGCCCGAAATCAAGCGTGAGTGTTAGCTTAAATGCTAACAGGAAGGGGGGGTTTACCTGGGGTTGGTGAGGTTGTAGAAACTCTTCCAGATCTGCAGCATGTGCTTACAGGTGAGCAGAGCTTCCTCCGGTCCTCTGCACATGGCCTCCAGCTTGACCTTTGTGTAGAGCAGACTAGCGAACACAAACGCAGCCGTGAGCTTCACACAAACACCAAACTGACCCCAAACCGAGCTGAAGGCCGTCGGGCTCACTTGAAGTTCTCGGGGTACTCGGACAGGGCCATCTCGATGATGTTCAGGGCGTCGTGGTAGTGTTTCTGGGCGGAGAGCAGCAGAGCCAGGAGGTGGAGGGAATGCACGTCGTCCCCCTGGAGCTGCAAAGCCTGTCGGACATAACCTAAGGCCTCGGGGATCTACAACCAAACACACACACCAGCTACACGTTTTCTCTACAGCCGGGAGGAGACGCGTCAATTCAAACGAGGGACGGTTGATTTTAACTGGCCGGATTTCACGTCTAAAATACGTTTTTTATGTGGCGTTACCTGTCTGGAAACAGCCAGCTGCAGGGCCAGGTAGAAGGCAGCGAGATGGTCAGTGGGAGACAGACTCTGAGCTCTACAGAGGGAGAGTTTGTGTTCAAACATGCTGAATGAAAAATGCAATAGCCCTGGATTAAACTTTAAAAAGCCCTGTGGGGAAACCAGGTCAGTGCAGCAGAAAATGTTCAGAGGTATCACACAAACTAAAGGAATAAAACATCAATCACAGCAGAGGTCTTTTAAACACATCCACACATTAATCACATTTTTATGGTTAAATAATGTCAATGCAAGCTGAGTCCAAACCTTTGAAAGGCTCCCAAAGCTTTCCTCTGGTAGTCCTCCTGCTTCCCCCTTAAGGACGCTGCGGACAAAACCAAAAACAATCACGTCAGAACACATACAGTGGGGGAAATAAGTATTTGACCCCTTGCTGATTTTGCAGGTTTGCCCACTTACAAAGAATGCAACGATCTATAACTTTAATCATATGTACATTCTAACAGTGAAAGACAGAATCCCAAAGAAAATTCCAGAAAATCACATCATATGAATTTATAAAAATTGATAACTATCTGATG